ATTGTAAAATATTCTTGTATGGGTAATAAATGGTCTGCATGAGTACTTGTTCAGATACAATCTCAGGAAAGAACCAAATTTTCAAGTTGAAAATCAAATTGAAATACAGTATTAAATATATATCTATATATAAAATTAGAATTCATTGGATTTTCTTGAAATATGTAAATAATTGCACTTTGAAACTGGTAAATATTTAGCCCACTTGTGATAGATATCACTATTTTAGGTTTTGAATTATACTTTAGGATGATCTCTCATTTCCACTTTCTCAGTATTTGTAGGATTAGAAAAAAGTATTATTATCAAGTAGAAATCAATTTTCCAAGGGAGATGATACTTGTTTCAGAACATTACAAAATTGTCTCTTCTTGATAATTCTTTTTATAACATTTGTTACTTCCTTATTTCTTAGACTATAAATAAAAGGGTTTAATAAAGGAATGACTAGAGTATAAAAAATAGCTACAGGTATATCTTTCTCACCTTCATTAACTGAACTTGGTTGAGCATACATGAAGAGCAGAGAGCCATAGAATATTGACACAGAGAGGAAATGGGATGCACAAGTAGATAGAGCTTTGCCTCTTCCCTTTTTGGATTTCATTGTGAATATAGTGAAAAGGATATAGAAATAGGAGATTAAAACAATAGCAATAGTAAAGACTTGAATTGACCCTGCCAAGATAAGTAACATCAGTTCATTAATATAAGGGTCAACACAAGAGAGTCTGTATAATGGAAGAACATCACAAAAGAAGTGATTGATTTGATGAGACCTACAGAAAGTTAACCTCAACAAAAGTCCTACTTCAACCATAGGATGCAGGAACCCTCCTATATAGGCTCCTGTGGTCATCTGAATGCAGAGTTCCATTGACATCATGGTGTGGTACTGCAGTGGTCTGCATATGGCCACATAGCGGTCATAGGCCATTGCTGCCAGAAGAAAGCAGTCTGTAGTCTCAGCAAGACAGAGAAAATAAAATTGTACCATGCATTCATAGAGGGAAATCCTTCTGTCCTCAGAAAAGAAGTCCTGTAACATCTTGGGAGTGATGGCACAGGAACAGCAGGAATCCATGAGAGCCAGGTTGCCCAGGAAGATGTACATTGGTGTGTGAAGACGGCGCTCCATGTAAATCAAGGCCACCAACCCTAGATTCCCCACCATGGTGACCAGATAGATGGCAGAGAACATCACAAATAGAAGGGTCTTCATGTCTGGGTGATCCATAAATCCCATGAGGATAAATTCAGTTGTCATTGAGTGGTTGCCCTCAGTCATCCCTATATTGTCTGTTGAAATAGGAATTGTTGAGATATAAGATTCTGATTTAAAGTATAAAATTTCCCACTGTTTTTCTTTTTACAACAGAGGAAATCTTCAAGCATCTTTTGTACTCTATGAATTATAACTACATTTAATTCTGTAGGGGTTTGTTCTCTTAAATTTTCAGTATATCTGTCTTCAAGCTGAGGACTCTCCACATTCACAAGAACCTTGTGATAGGTGCAGGGAGGATACTTTAAGTGGAAATGTTTTATCTTTATGCATTTCTGCAATGATAGCATAAAGTTTTGGTACCAATATTTGATCATTGTTCCAATGTAATTTTAGTGTCATACTTTTTGAGACCTCTAAAATAAATTTTAAATCATTCTTCCAATAATATGTATTTTTCTATTTAGAAGAAATTTATATTTTATTTTAGGGGTTCCAATATTTTTTAAATAGCATATTACAGGTATATTAACTTTATATGTTAGAGATTATGCAAAGGACATCTCATAGAAAATTGCCTTAGGTAGCTAAAGAGATAACTGTCCACACAATATCAATTGCAAACTCCTTCAGATTATTACAAATGTTTTCATGAACACTGCCTATATTTCACCAATATGATTGATTTTTTTCACGTTTAAATCCTTCCTATTTTTTTTTTTTGTAAAGCATACTTAATACGACTCTATGAGATTTTAAGCAAGTGTCCCAGGACAAACCAATCTCATTTTTTGAATTCAGAGAATGTTTTCTATATCCCATATAATATATATTTTTTCATATATAATTTACATGGCTCTGTTCTTTCACCATGTATCTGAACAATTTTCTATTATATGAATTTTGAGGTTAGTTATTACATACTTTTCTGAAAGGAGCCCTAAGTTGTTATGGAATGAAGGCACAATGAATTCCAAACCTATCTCTGCCCTGTTATCTGGAATGGGTGACTTTGTTTTCAGTATCCTAATAAACTTTAGTGATCTCTTATACTCTGCATATTGAGGAATGTTAACCATGAAGAAAAGTGTCCTCCAAGGAAATTTTTTAAATGACAAAGTTGAGAATCTTAAGTGTCTTTTCTACTCTTTTTCTTTTTCCTCAGAAAATTATATAAGATTCTCTACTGTATGATAGTAGACATAAAGGTAATAAAAAAAGTCATTTTAATACATCTTTTAAAAATACTTATTAAAACAGAAAACTTTTAAATTCTAATGTGTGTTTTTAATTCATATTTAGTTTGCTTTAAAAATTATTTAGTCTTATTACTTAGTGATTCGTTGGGATATATTAAATAACAGATAAAATCATAAATTCTATGGTTTAAATAGTTTGTATCTCCATGAGGAAAGCATCAAAATTAACGTTGTAGAAATTTTAAGTATAAGCCTTATAGTCATTTAAAATATAAATAACTTTCAGTATACTTGCCTTTGTTTTTCAATAAATTTTTTGGATCTTACCTCTGTATTTTGAAATTATATATTGAGATCAGGAAGTCAGATGAATTATACTTTTCTATTGCACCTCATGCTAGTTCCCAGTACCAATTTTGCTAAGATCTAGAATGAAAAACAGGGGATAAAATTTAGAATCCATGAAAATTTATAAATCATTCAGGGAAGCAAATATTTCTGGTTGCTAATATTAACAATAAAAATAAGTTCAAATATTCATCTTACCTAGATTTCACTGAGAAGAGTTTGCTTTTATGGTGAAGGCCTCAGAATTTGGAATATATATATGTACATTCTTGCTAGAACATTTGGGATTAAGAGAATACAAATCTCTGAGACAACCTTTAGGTCAGAGTTAATACTTATGTCCCTTATACAACCAAGTTAAAGTTTTCCATCAAATCCTGGAGGGATTTCTCTGTAATGACATCAGTGTATTTCTATGGAGATATTAAGTCCTAAAAACATAAAAACTTGAAATGTATTAAAAGTGTCCTGTGAGACAGAAAAGTATAAGTACGTAACAGTCACTAAAGTCTGACAACCCTCATAATTATTAGTATGAAACTGCCTTATGTTTTACAATTCTTTTCACCATCCTATCCATAAAATATAAAACACGCCAGAAATTTCTCAGGCTGTTTTGGCCTTTGTGGAAATGTGAAATTAATGTGTTTTATGATTCTTTGTTGCCTTTTGCAGCAAATTGAGTTAAATCCTGAACATGTATTGATTGCCTTGATTTCTAATTCAAAGCATAATTATTTCTCTGAGTCATAAAATACATCTAAAATTATTTTAGAGGGTCCTTTATAGACTGATCACTATATTTGGAGAAAAACTATTTTACATTTGAGCTCAGAATTCTCTCAATGAAGTATTAACCACTTATCAATATTTTTGTTGTGTCTACTTCAATGTAGAGACAAACTAAAAAAATAATGAATAATAAAAACAAGTATTTTAAAGAATGCATGTTCATTTTTATAGGGTAGATAAATTGGAAACCCATTATTGCATTGAGTTCACTGACAAACATTTTATAATAGCTTATTGGAGATGTAATTTTCTTTATTTTTAGGGAAATTGATATATTAAAAATTCGGTCTTTAGAAAATTGAGGAATAATTAATGAAAATCTAGGACAACTTTCTCTACTCATAGATCAGTAACAAAAATTTTGTTAGACTTAGGGCAAGTTAAAGTTGTGTATTGATTATTGATTCTAAAGGGATTTTCTTGGTGTTGACTTCAGGGTAATTCTGTATAAATTATAAAAATGTGTGTGTGTGTGTGTGTTTGTGTGTTTATGAAAGAGATAGAGGTAGGAAGGGGCAGTAGGGAAGATGAATCCTTCAGGGCATGCCCTAGTGACCCACCTCCTCCAGTCATGACCGATGTCTCTACATTTACCATCCAGTAGCTCACTGAAACCATCACAGATTGATTAGGTCACCGGTCTCAGAATACAATCATTTCATCTGAGTATTCCTACATGAACACAGGAGCTTTGTGGGACCCCTCATATCCAAACCATTATATTCTGTTCCTAGTCCCCAAAAGCTCATGTATTTCTCTCAATGCAAAATTTATTTATTCCTTCTCCCAGAGTTCTCATAGTTCTCTAAACAGCTTCAACATTGTCCAGAATTTCAAGTCCAAGTTCTCATCGAGACTCAAGGCACATTTAGGTTTTGAGCCTATGTGGCAATCAAAAGCAAGTGACATACTTTCCATGTGCCATGGTACAGAAACCAAGTTACATACCTCCAATATGTAATGGCAGAGAGAAAATGTTCCCATTTCAAAAGGAAGTTTAGGAGCACATAAAGAAGAGATGGGACCAAAGCAAGACCTAAACCCAATCAGGAAATCGTTTCCTGTAGCTCTACATCTGGCATCTGGGGCAAATGTGATCTTTCAAGGGTTTGGGCAACTCTGCCCCTTTGACCTTGTTGATTGTAACTCTTGTGGCCTGTCTTTTAGCCTCATGTGGCTCTTTCCTTGGCCAGTAGCTCTCCTTAGCAGATGATACATATTACTGGCATCTGTGAACAATGGGGAACTCCATTCTAGCTTTACTCCCATCTTACAATTTTATGTATCACCCTCTCAGGGGTTCTCCTTGATGATCACAGCCCTGCTACATTTTGCCTGACACCCCCCCCCGCCCCCCACCGCCTGGCCTTCTTTGACTCTTGCACTCCAGCATCTTGCATGCTTGCAGAATCACCACCATATGGATTATGCCAAGGTCTACTACCAGCCTGAGCAATAGTTAAGTCCCCCTTTGGCCATGGCTGCTACAACCTCTGGGTGCTTGGGTTCATAAGCACAGTGAAAGGAAAGTTGGAGAAACAACTTTCTAGGTGCTCCTGTGTAAGCAGCATGCCCCACCATCTCCTAAATTAGTTTTCATATTACACTCTTGTCCTGCCATGGGCAGCCTGAGACACCCTCAAGGTACCTTTACTATTATCTCTGTACAAAGTATTAGCTTCACTTTAGTGATACTAATCTCTTTAGCAACCACTTCTTACTTGGCTTCAGATTTACACATGATTTTCTGACAAAACTGTAGGTCTTTAAATTCTTCGTTCTCTACTTTCTGCTTCCTATTTTCATGATAAACCTTGCTAAATGTCAACAACAATACCCATGTCACTGCCAGAATGCTATGCTGCCTTAACTTATCCTCTGCCACATCAATTATTTCATCACCTTTAAATTCACCTTAACATAAAGTAGCAGGGTATGGGCAAAATGAAGACAAGTTCTTCAGCAGGATAAAATATAAATGACCTTTAGTCCGAATCCCAGTGGAATCCTCTCTACCCACTGATATGAGTACAGTCTTTACTATCATCATTCCTATCAGTATTTTGTTCTTTGAAGTTCACACTAGAATCATCCATTAAGCTCTGCTTGCAACATTCTAGGTCTTTTCTAACCTGCATATCCAAACTCCTCCCACAAATGAGTTCAAAACATTATGAACCCCATTGTCAGGTTAGTCCTAGCAACAACTCCACTTCTCAGAACAAATTAGGTCAAAGTACTCATACTTCAAGTATTTCACCTCTGAATATCCTTTAATTAACCATAGGAACTGTGGAGGCCCACTTCACATGCAAAACATAATAAAATAATAAAATACAAAGCATATTTATAGAATGTAGACTAACCCACAGTAGCTAGAATTCACATAAATCCTAGGAATAGGATTCATGGATACAAACTAATGTTACAGATGAGTATTTTAAATTCTTGATTGAAACTGACTTTAATTTTCTTTTTTAAATATATATTTATTTATTTTTACTTATTTTTATGTGGTGCTGAGGATCAAATGTGCGAGGCAAGTGCTCTGCCACTGAGCCACAACCCCAGCTCCTGACTTGAATTTTATAACCTTGTACTTGAATAGTATTTATTGCACAGTCACTGACTTACCAGCTTCCCACCCTGCATTTGTTACTAGCTTACAATCTTTCAGGTAAAAACTTAACTAATGTTCAATTCCAATCTGTTTCAAAATATACT